TGAAGCTGAGGCTCCAATGCTTTGGCCATCTGATGAGAAGAGAAGACTCCCTGGAAAAGACCCTGATGTTGGGAAAGTGTGAAGGCAGGAGGAGACGGGGACAACAGAGGATGAGATGGTTCAACAGTGTCATCAACGCAATCAACATGAATTTGACCCAACTCCAAGAGGCAGTGGAAGACAGCACGGCCTGGTGTGCTCTGGTCCATGGGGTCACGAAGAGTCTGACATGACTAAATGACTAAACAACAACATCTTGCCTTGGGAAATTGATTTAGGAGTGGTTTAGTGGAGTTTGGGCTCAATGGATTGAAGCCCGAGGGCTTTCTCATTAGCAAGGACTATGATATCTTTTTTTGGGGTGGTGGCGGCCTTGAATGGGAAACTAAGAGCTTTTAACTGTATAAAAGATCTGCTCCTCGTTTGTTGATATGGACCATTCCAACTTCCTGCAGTTTTTGATCCCTCTTATGGTTGAATTTGCTGTGGGCAATGTCATGATGAACTTCTGAATACTGTATCATTTCCATGTTTAACATCACACTACTGCTATTAAGTGGCTTCTGGTTATTAGCACTCTCTTTGAGATATATAAATGGAAAATGACAAAGCCTGGGCCACTTGTACATAAGAGCATAATCCTGAAACACCTGGAATTAGTACACTGAAAATATTTTTTGCATAGCCTATTTCCATAATACTGTACATTTGAATACTGTATCATTTCCATGTTTAACATCACACTACTGCTATTAAGTGGCTTCTGGTTATTAGCACTCTCTTTGAGATATATAAATGGAAAATGACAAAGCCTGGGCCACTTGTACATAAGAGCATAATCCTGAAACACCTGGAATTAGTACACTGAAAATATTTTTTGCATAGCCTATTTCCATAATACTGTACATTACTATAACTCTATTGTCTGGTACCAAGTAACATTATAAATACTTTGTTGGGTAAATGTGGCTGAAAATTAGGAACATTGTTACATCTCTTAAATTGACACTATTACAAAGTGCTGACCTTGTGAATCTGTTAATTTTGCTACAAAATATAACTTTGAGGAACTAAATACAGTATCCTATTCTGGTCTGTGAGGATTAATGTCACACACCTTAGTCAGACTTCCATTAACTCTTACATAATTTTTAATGCAACATATATGTCTTTTGCTCACTTATCATCTCACTATATGCTTACAATCTGAGGAGCAAAATTATTTTCAGCAGACACTTGAGTCCCACAACCTTTTTTTTTAAATTGCCGCTTACAAAATCTATTTATAGAGGGGACCCAACATTATATTTCTCTTATCATAGAGTAATTGAGTTTGAATTTTTGGTTGACTAATACTTTTATTAAAACCAACCAGTATGCCAGCTGTTCAGTCCAAACCCTCACAAGACAGGCCATACATGCAACATGCAGTTGTATGATTTTTATTTCAGTTTTTACATTTTTATATTTCAAGGATCATGTCCTGCTTACAAGTTGAGCAGAATCATGCTGACTAGACAAGGCTTGGCTTTACCTTTCAGTCCTCCCCTTTCTTTGTTACCCATATTTCATCTGTAACTGTGATATAATTTTCTCATTCAACATCTCAGATCCACATCAGTTCTCTCACCTGTAGCCAGCAGTCTGCCATCAAAAAGGAATAACATGTAATTTAGTGGCTATATAATTCTCCCTTGAATTGAATGGATCTGAGCAGCAGTTTTGGTTATAAACTTCTTTTTCCAATAAATAGATATATATTTCAATAAATAAACATTTTAATAAATAAATATTCAACAAATTCTGTCCTGCTATTTACCTCCAGGAAGCGGCCTGAGAATGGTGGTTCTCGGGCTTACCTAGGTCTCTGGTGGCGGTAGTGTGGCAGTTCCTGGGCTGATGATGGCAACCCAGCTGGTCCCTTCTGTCATGGCAGCTCCACATGATGGCCGGGGGGTGGGTGGGTGTGCTGAGGCATGCTGGAAGGCTAATGTGGGTCAGGTATGTGCATGTATGTGTTAATCAACACTTTATGCCTTGAAGTTCCATTTTTGGAGGCATAAAATTATACATGGATTTTGAACTACACAGGGGTCCAGCGCCCCTAACCCCAGCATTGTTGAAGGGAGAAGTATATATCATCCTTGAATTTGTTCTATCATTTTGAAACCTTTGGCGTATCTCGCCCCATCCCTCATGTGCTTACATTTTTGTACTTCTGATCCCTTATTTTCTAATTACCATTGCCAGCTACTCTGAAGTCTCTTGTTGGAACAGTTGTGCCCATTTTCCTTACTGCTACCTCTAGCCATAATTTTTACTTAACATATTCTGTTCGTACAGTGCTACCTTTCTCTTTGTTCAAATGTCTTTTCAAAGTCCCTTCTTTCCTTTGAAGACCTGGCTTAACTCTGCAGGCTCAACCCTTAAGGACAGCCTACACATTACTGCATCTGTTACTAGTCGGTATTTGTCATTTCTCTGTCTGTTGTAAACTTCAATATGCCTGCTTGAATTTCTAACCAGATCATGATTCATCTTGGAGAGGAAAGCTCATGATAGTTTCTGGGAACTACAAGAACTGCACGAGCCCCCTTAAAGCATCACTGAAGTGTTTACATTGCTGCTAGCTACTACTGAAAACTTGATTTAAATATCATGTCATTCACATGGTTGTCCTTGCTATCCAAGCCTAATTTATTTTCTTTGTCTCCCTCCAGTTCCCTGCTTCGGGTCCCTTCTCTTTCCCATGTTTCCCCCTGAACTGCAGCTTCCTCATTCAAAGTCATGGACACAGTCTATGTACTTTTCTTTTTCTGAGAGGCTTCCAGACATGGCTTTGTTGCACACCTCAAGCTTGCAATTTTATGAGGGAGTTACCGTATTCATATTGTGACTATCCCAGGTTTTCACACCACTTCTTCCTTCACATATACACATGTATAACTACAGGACGGGGGAAGAGAAGAATAACTGAATATTCACTTTGGATGTGTAATGGTAGATAATATCTGGCTAGATAGATCCTTGGTCCCTCAAGCAACTAACCCTCATTGACACCTAATACATATTACAATGTTATACTGTATTGTAACTAAGACAAAGTATGTATAACTGAAATAATCATAGACCAGAATCCTACTGGTGTTTGCATAAGATTTGCATAACCTGCCACAGCAAATTACAGCTAACTGACAAGTTGTCTGAGCATATCTCAGTCTTGTGCCTGCTCATGCACCTGATTGTGCCCTGGAACTTCAGCAATTCGGTACAAGTTACACAGATCCTATGCTAATACCAAGAGGATTCCAGCCACCTGATTGTGCCCTGGAACTTCAGCAATTCGCTACAACAAGTTGCTAATACCAAGAGGATTCCAGCCATGATCTTTCTGTGCCTTCCAGGAGCAGCAGTGGAAACAGTACCAGCAATTATGACATATAACTTTCCCAGAGGGAGAGGGGGTTATGAACAGTCTGCACTCCAAGATTTAATGTCAGTGTTACTTTTTATTTATTTAGCAATCCCTTGTGTTTTTATTTCCAAATTAAAACAGCAAATAACTGGTGTACCTTGAACATGTCAATTGCTTTTTATTTGTCAACCTAGAAGCTAATTCATTATTGTATTTTCTTAAAAGTATGTGCATCAGAGTATACAAACAAAAGCCAAGATAAATAGTTGTGAGAAGTGTATTGCTGACAATGGCAATTCAAACTACTTTGGCCATCAGAATACTGCATATTCTTCAAGTGACCAATCTGGCTATTTCTAGTCCTTGTTATAATTCCTAATATTAGACATAAACATTAAAAGCCTAGCAAGAAACTCTCATCTGTTCTTTAAGTGCACAATCAAATTAGGCTACAGAGATTTATAACATATTAATGCCACACCCATACATATTTAAATATGTTGCTATTACTTAAGAAGTTTTGGCACAGTTAGAGTTGAAACTGTAACATCTTTAAAAATTGGCACATAGTTTGGACTTGGTTGGCTTGGGCCTTTGTCCAGTGTTTCAATGATGGTCTGCTTCATCTCTCTGCTGGCATCTCCTCGCATTGTCAACAAAGCTGCAATATGGTCATCCCTGCCAATTAAAGTACAGCATCAATACAAAGCTTCCAAATTGGAAAAGCAAGTGGGAACACAGCTTTACACAGCAGACATTCTACAGCAAACACTTCAGTACTAAGATTTCTTGACAAAGTGACACCATGCAAGGGGAAATCTCAGAAGCTGATTCCTTTTTCCATCAGTTAACCACTTCTTACTCAAAGACAAAGCAATTGTCAGGGCTCTTTTTCAACAAGTGTGAATACAGTAGTAATGAGCCAAAGATGGTATCCTGTAGACCATATTGACTGCTGTCATTCAGGTTGTCAACACTGAGGCTTACCTTTACTATGTAAAGATTGACATCCTTTTTCCTGCTAGCAACACGGACATGATACTGTGCAGCAATATTGAGCCACTTTCTGGCTTTCTGAATCATAGGTACAGAAGCCCAGTATCTCAAATTCATAAACCACAGGACTGTAATGTGATTATTAAGACCTTGGTTTAGATTCTCTCTTTTACCAGATAACTTTAAAAATTAAGAGAAAAGGTTTGCATAAAACTAAATGTCAACATTTTCATCAAGCCCTCCTGTGGTATTTAAATAATATATTATTTAAAATTGTAAATTTAGAAATGAAGTATATTACCTGATATCTGGGTGTTTGCTGACTAAAGTTGAGACCTCTAGATAAAGTAGTGAAGGATCTGTCAACTTGAATACTTCTGCTATAGCTTCAATTACACTGCAAAGTCCTTCTGTGTCCTCCCCAGATCCCTGATAAATCATCATCAATATTAGCTGTTAATCTTTTAAAACATCTAATTCAAAATTATAATTATTAGGTAAGTATAGCATGAGAACAAAATGGCAAAAGCATTGTGGTCCATATATATAGTGTCTCAAATGGAATCCACATCAGGTTATACAAACTTAACCCTTGTAACTTTGGCGGCCACAATTATATCTAAGTCTGTGCTCGACTGTGGCTATAGAATTTTTTTCAATTTACTAATATTTTTATCAAAATCACACTGTAGTAATCTTATATATACACAATTACTAATATATTTTACTCGTATCAGAGCAAGAGTTTCTAATGAAATATCATGTTTAAATTAGATTGCCTATCATACATCAGTTTCTGCTTGTGTCTTCTTCATCCCATCTCATCCCACCTTTCTAAAGACAGCTGAGTTATCCCTCAGTTTCGTGGCTGCATACTAAGAGATATTATTTTGTCAGGAATAGCTGATTAAAGCTGAAGTTTACAAAAGCATAATTTATCACACAAAGCAAAGAAAAACAGGTAACAATGTTATAGGAACATATTTTGAGATTGCTTGTGGCCTAATATAAAAAATAACAGAATTTTATATTAGGCCACAGGCAAGTGTCGTCATGTATTTATTTTATTTATACCCCGCCTATCTAGTCAAACGACCACTCTAGGCGGTTATGTATGTCTCAAACATATGAGGATTTAATCTATGTACTGCACATAAATTCTGCTAATTCTCCCATAACTAAGGATTTCTACAGAAAAAAGGTACTATATCAGCTTTACATAAAAGAGCAATTATGTCAATGTTTAAAAAATGTTATGTTAAATTGGTTAAGTGACGAGTGAAAGGGTTCATTAATATTTCTACATTTTTAAAGGGACAAAGAATTATATGCTATGTATTCTCGAAGGCTTTCACAGCCGGGATCTGATGGTTGTTGTGGGTTTTTCGGGCTCTTTGGCTGTGTTCTGAAGGTTGTTCTTCCTGACATTTCACCAGTCTCTGTGACCGGCATCTTCAGAGGACAGGGGTAGGAAATCTGTCCATGCTCTGTTGCTGTTTGTTGGATAGCTGAGTATTTATAGCTTTGGGAACAGCTTTTGTCCCTTTCAGGAGATTGGGTGATTATGGTGATCAGCGTACTTTTGTTGTGGATGTGTTGTGATAAGTGGGAGAGATTATCTGTCACTGTGACTGATGGGTGTCGTTAGCTGGTCTTTTGTGTGCAATGATCCCTGGTCCTTGTGGCTGGGTAGAGTTTGTTGACCTTTTGCAGGCTGTATTTTTCAGTGCTGGGAGCCAGGCCTTGTTGAAAAACAGCCACCCACAAATAAAGTATTCTGCCATACATCAAAGAGGTCATAGAACGCATGGGGAAAATTTTGAAAAAACACAACCTACAAACAGTATTCAGACCCACGACAAAATGTTATGGTCAGCAAAGGACAAAAGGGACCCTCTCACCACTGCAGGGGTATACCGGATACCTTGCAGTTGTGGACAGGTATATATTGGAACCACAAAACGCAGCATTCATACCAGAATCAAAGAACATGAGAGACACTGCAGACTAAAACAACCAGAAAAATCAGCAGTAGCTGAACATACCCTAAAACAAGCTGGACATGAAATTCTATTTCAAAATACTGAAGAACTGGACAACACTAGCAATCATTATGTTAGATTACACAGGGAAGCCATTGAAATCCATAAACACCAGCAGAGCTTCAACAAAAAAGAAGAAAGTTTAAAACTCAACAAGGCCTGGCTCCCAGCACTGAAAAATACAGCCTGCAAAAGGTCAACAAACTCTACCTTTTTTTGCTTCATTCTCTTTGCATTTCTGATCGCTCCATTTCTTTTTGCAATGGTTCATGTATGCTTCTCTTGCTTTTTTGCTTCCTTCTCTTTGCATTTCTCATCTGCTCCGTTTGTTTTCTGTGTTTTTGCAATGGTTCATGCATGCTTCCCTTGCAAATCAGAAAAGTTTTTGCAAGGGTCTGTGCTGGCTTGGTTTAAAATGATGGTGTAAAATGTGTGGGTTTAAAATGTGTTTTAGACTCTTTCCCTCCCCCATTGTCTTCTCTATCTCTGTCTCCCTCCTTTCCTGCCCTTTTTAAAACCTAAGTAATCTTAGGTTAAAAAAAATTCTCCCCCTAGTGGTAGAGGATGGAGTAACCAGTTTTGCACTAGTTCCTTTGGGAACGAATGCTTTGACTTACAAACCGTGCCTTGACATAAGAACAAAAAACAGCCAGAATGGATTAATCGGGTTTCTGTGCATTCCTATGGGAAATGCTGCTTTGATTTATGAACGTTTTGACTTATGAACACCATTCCATTACAGATTAAGTTCATAAGTCAAGGCACCATTGTACAGCAATTTCACAAGTAGAAACAAGCAGGGACCTGGTATTAAAAACTTTGAAACAAACTGGGTGTTCCTCTTGTGCAGTTGCACACTTACTCAATAACCGATTACCTAACACCAACCAGCACATGTATGAACTACTGTTGTAAAAAGTGATAAAGTGAAATTGGAGAAATGCTAGAGTGGTGCCAGAAACAAAGATCTAGGAAGACAATTTAGAATTACTTCAAACATTTCCTCTTTTGTCCTCTCGTACACTTACAGCAGCAAGTTTTTTGAACAGAAATCGGAACTGTTCAGCTTCTGTCTTCATTCGTTCAGCACCTTGTTTCCTTTCTTCTGCAGTCTTGAAAGTAATACGCTTTGACATAATTGCCTTGATATATTCCACAACGACTCTACGATGACACTCAACGGTCATTTTCTGAAAGAAAAAGTCAAATTATACCATTGACAGCCAATATATTCACATATATACTGTATATTATATTTTGATTGTTTCTAATCTTTATTCATAGGCCAAAATTACTGAAAAAGAAGCCACTCTTCTGCACTACACTCATTTAACTTGGAAGAACTGACTGCTGATTTAGTGGCATGAATTCAGGGGTATAGTTTATAGATGGGCCCAAGGTTCCTGCTAAGCCACGTGTGAGCACATGCAACTCCACCTCCCTCTGCACAGCTCTCTTCCTCTTCTGTGCAGCAATCACAGTCAACCCCTTTGGTTCCAGTCAGAACATAATCCTGCACGTGGGCAGGCGGAATTGACTGCGTGAAAGGGGGAGCCTTGCCCAGTTGGACTGAAAATTAGAGGGTACATTGGGCCACTTACGCTACTTTTAAACAGCAGCTAATTTAAAGTAGAAAAACTGCCCATCTTTACACTGAACTAGTCATTAGGGTATGCCTGCTGTATCTCCTGCAACATGTGCTGATAACAGCTAGTACAATCCATACCTCATTCCAGTAGTGTCTCTTATTCTACAACACTGGGGAAAAGGAACCACTGAAGAACAGCATGTGTTCCTCAATATTCCCTGCAAGATATGGAGAACTGATTTAACAGCTGGAATGCTGGCTTATGGGTCAAAGGTGTGAGTACGGGTATACAGTGGTGCCTCGCATAGCGAGGTTAACTCGTTCTAAAAAAAACATCGCTATGGGAAAACATTATTAAGTGAAACGAGTTTTCCCATAGAGATGCATTGAAAACCGGATAATCTGTTCCAATAGGAACGGATTATCCGGTTTTCTCCCTCCCCCCGCGGCTTGGATCTGACCCGCAGCGGCTACCTCAGCCATGGCTGGACTCCCTAGAGTCGGGCCATGGCTGGGGTAGCCGCCGCGGCTCGGATCCAAGCCCCGCTGCTCAGCTGGGGGAAAATGTCGGCAGTGGGCTGCGGCCTCAGAAGGATCCCGAAGCCACCGTCCCCTGCCGACAA